GACAACAAGTCCTTTCCTCTCCCTTCCTTACATTTCTCCACGATTTGCAGAGCGCTGACGATTCCTTCCCCCGGTTCAAAAGGAATCCCTGCCATGCTTCTGCGTGACTGCTGAAGCAACTACTATTCGTCACTATGAATCTCTATCGTTTCGGTCTTTTGGTCGCTTCCCTCGTCTCTGCGGTGGCAGCAGAGTCGACCTTTACCCCTGCTAGGCCTCCGTCGTTGCCGTTGGCTGTCAAGTCCCCATACCTGAGCACGTGGCTGCCGGCAGGACAGGATGGGGGTAATGGTGGCTACTTGGCTGGTGAATGGCCGAGGTTCTGGGAGTGAGTACCCCCCCCCCCCCCAAATTTGCACCATTCTTGCGCCCATAAACTGACCAATTGACCAGAGGTCAAATAATTGGTTGGGCTGGTGTCATTCGTGTAGACGGCAATTCCTACACATGGATGGGATTGCCAGGAACCACTACGGTTAATCAGACGGCCTACGAGTATACTTCGACCAAGAGTATTTTCACCATGAACGTTGGCGGTGCGGTGCAGTTGAATCTTACTTTCCTCTCGCCCATTACGCCCAACGATCTCAAGCGGCAGTCTTTGGTTTTCTCCTATCTTAATGTGGAAGTTGCCTCGCTCGATGGTCGATCCCATGATGTTCAGGTGTACTCCGACATCTCAGCTGGTAAGTCTCTTTGCCGGGTGTTCCCCATTTGAACCATGTTTCACCCATCTGACCAATTGTCTACAGAATGGGTTTCAGGAGACCGCAATGCTGCTGTGCAATGGGACTATGGTGTCACGGACGATGAAGTTGCCTATCACAAGATCCAACGCCAAACTCAGTTGCTTTTCTCTGAATCCAGGGATCAGTCGGAATGGGGTTCTTGGTACTGGGCCACGCATAACGGGACCGGCGTAACGTACCAGTCGGGAATTGCAGAGGACGTTCGCAGTGCGTTTCGAAGTAACGGGAAGCTGTCCAATTCAAAGGACAACAACTACCGCGCCATCTCTACAGACTGGCCAGTCTTTGGATTCGCCGTTGACTTGGGATCCGTCAGCTCTCAGACGGCCGACCGGCTGTTCACCATTGGTCTGGACCAGCAAGATGCAATTCAGTTCAGCGGTGCAACCGGAATTCGCGCGGTGCCTTCTCTCTGGACGAGCTATTTCAAGGACGGATTGGCTGCTGTAAGTCATTGAATGATGATACGGTAAAATAAACTTAAAGCTAACTTGTCAGCTCGACTTCTTCTACCATGACTATGAGGAAGCCAACGAGTTGTCTTCGGAATTCGATGATCGCGTTGCCCGGGATTCTATCGCTGCTGCCGGCCAGGATTATTTGACCATCACTTCCCTCAGTGGTCGTCAGGCTTTTGCGGCCACTCAACTGACCGGTACCATTGAGGAGCCCTACTTATTTATGAAGGAGATCTCTTCCAACGGCAACATGAACACGGTCGATGTCATCTTCCCGGCGCATCCCGTTTTCCTCTACACGAACCCAGAGTTGCTGCTGCTCCTGTTGAAGCCTCTTTACGAGATCCAGGAATCCGGAAACTATCCCAATGCCTACGCCATGCACGACATTGGCACGCACTACCCCAATGCCACTGGTCACCCTGACGGTAACGACGAGCTCATGCCGCTCGAGGAGTGTGGAAACATGGTCATTATGGCTCTCGCATATGCGCTCAAGTCGGAGAACACAACCTATCTGAGTGACCATTACACGAAGCTCACTCAGTGGACCAACTATCTCGTCGAGGATGCGATTTACCCGGCGAACCAAATTTCGACCGACGACTTTGCAGGGTCTTTGGCGTAAGTCATTTTCTGTGGTTGTTTTGATGCATGCTAACGTGTATAGCAACCAAACCAACCTAGCTCTGAAGGGTATTATCGGTATCGAAGCCATGGCGACCATTAGCTCCATCACCAACCACCCCGACGACAGTGAGAACCGCACTACGATTGCTGAGGATTACATTGAGCGATGGCAAACCTTGGGCATTGCCAACAATACCAAGCCTGCGCACACCACTCTGTCGTATGGAGACAACTCATCCCACGGTCTTCTGTACAACCTCTACGCTGATCGGGAACTTGGATTGAACTTGGTTCCGCAGTCTGTATATGACATGCAGAGCTCGTTTTACCCAACCATCGAGGCGACATACGGAGTTCCGCTTGACACCAGGCACAGTTATACCAAGAGTAGGTGCCCCTTTATCCACCCAAGACTCACTGGCTAATGAATTAGGCGACTGGGAACTGTTTGCTGCGGCTGTAGCGTCGAACTCGACTCGCGACATGTTCATCAAAGACTTGGCTACCTGGATCAACAAGACACCGACCAACCGACCTATGACTGATCTCTATGAGACCAGCTCCGGAGGGTAAGTGCCCTGGCATCTTTGTGTGAGTTGATGCTGACGGAACAGTTACCCCGGAATCACCTTTATTGCCAGACCCGTCATGGGCAGCTCGTTTGCATTATTAATTTTGAATTAGGCTATGGTTATGATATCCTTTGCGCGTGGAGATGTGATACGATTCGTGTAATATTGTTGGATGCTATCCTTTCGGTCATTGTTAGACCATATGGGTCGTTATATATAGGATTGAACGGCTGTTGCCATACAAGTGTCTGTTCATCATCATGGAGTCCGTATATCATAAAGTCAATCACAGTTCGTGGGCAAATTCATTCGTTTCGTCCCATTGGTCGAAAGCGCGAATCAGATCTGATTTGTTAGTCTCGTTGTAAACTTATGCATGGTCTTGGGAGACATACCGTAATACATCATCATACCCTCGAGATGAGTATCGATGGACTGTTTCTCATCGACAGTGTGGATATTGTTGAGGAACCTCTCGCGACTAGGATTCCAGCGGTAAATATTCCGCGACAGATTCCAGTAGAACCGCGTATCCGTGTTCCCAGTCATCACATCCCCACTGACAACAACCTTCTTTCCCTTAAGAGCAGGAACCGACTCAAACACGGCGCGCGCAACACCCGAGAAGCGAGCCCAAATCTGGTCCGCGGAGACATCCGTCGGACTAAGCGGCGCGGGGACGAGCGGGGACGAAAGCGGCCTAAGCGTGAGATGGTTGATCGTTCCCTCGCTTCCGTCAGACGAATACGGATGCGAGAACGAGAGATTGTATCCTTGCATGATGGGCGTAATTAGGTCAACCGCGCGAGAGATAACAGTGTCCGGTTTCTGATGCAGCGCAACACGGTAGTTGATCACAGCGGAGATCTTCTCCGGCAACGCGTTGGATTTCACACCACCATGGATAATATCTGTTGCCTGGGTTGTTTGCAGAGTAACCCGGAAATTGTCACCACGCGACGCGCCCAGTTTCTCAGCTAGCGAGCGGTAATCGTTTGTCGATAGCGCATGTCCCAGCCACGACTCGATGTGTTCTGGCGAATGCACGACCTGGCATTCCAGTGTCTTCCGGGTGGGATGGTTCTCGTCTAGCTCGGGGACGAACAAGTCCTTGCGTTCGAGCGTGTGGATGATATCTGCAATAATCCCGATCCCCGTGTGCGCGGGCGGAATGGAACTATGGCCACCGGGCACGGCGAGTTCAAGGGCGAGATCGAGAGAACCCTTTTCACCGACTGCGGGGAGCGCATAAACGACATCTTCATCACCAGGGAGGACTTGTACCCCGTTTCCGCCCTCATCCAGGATTAAAGCGATGCTGTCTTTTCCATACCGTTTCTCCAGCTCGGGAGCTAGATGTCCCGCGCCTAGGAAACCGTGCGACTCCTCATCGAACCCAAACGAGAAGATCACCGTACGCGATGGCTTAAATCCCTGGCTGAGTAAGTCCTCGATGGCGGAGAGGAGCCCGATAAGTGTGTTCTTGCAGTCGCTGGCGCCGCGGCCCCAGATGTAGGTTCCGTCGTAGTGGCCAGAGAAGGGCGGGTACGTCCAGTCGGTTGGGTCGTCAATGGGGACGACGTCTTGGTGGGCGAGGAAGAGGATTGGTTGGAGGTGTGGGGAGGTGCCGGGGAGGGTGTAGAGGAGAGCGTGGGTGTTTATGTGGTCTAGCTTGGCGTGTTGGTGGCTAGAATTGATTAGCATGTGAATATGTTCGGAGAATTGAATAAGGCAGGCATACACTAGAGGAAACAATTCACGAAGAAGGTCCTGGAAGTCCACGAACGGCGCAAACCCCTCATCTTCAGGATCCGTCACCGAATCGCCCACACTCGTATCGACCTGCACAGCACGCGAGAGCCGGTCAACCTGTCGCTCCCGAATGTCATTGTCTTGGATAAAGTGCAGCGATGACAAGAAGCCGTCAGTGTCCGGGTCTATTTTTGGCGGCAGAGGACATGATATTTCGGAGATGGTAGCCTGGAGAGGCAGAGGCCGTTGAACCGAGGCCGAAAAGGGAAATGAAGGCAGGGCTAAGGCGGTGGGGAGAAGGATGACTAAGAGGGGCCGCATTTTGGTGTGTTTAATTAGCATGTTAGCGGAGGGGAGAGTGGGATTGTGGCTATTTATATGTTAGTGTATGGAGTACGGAGGACAGGGTGCTTATCGGAGGGGTCGGTTAGGGTCCTGCATGTCGGATGGCTACGTGATTTGGGTAGGATGTTTGTCTATCTACAATTCTACTCCGTTCAGAGTATTCTGCAGAGAATTGACTTACATATGAAAATCTGACTCGGATTTATCCTGACATAGATGACAACCCTAAGCCCGCCCGAAAAGGGGCGCCGATCGTACGCAAAAGGTCAACCGTGACGAGAAAAAGCCGAGGAGATCTCAATAGTTTGTTTCAGCGTGCTGTGTTTTGTTCAGGGGTATATGTATATCAACTGCCCTTTTTTCCTTTTTGCTGTCCGTCAAACCACTCGTTCGTACAGTGTACGCAGGACTTTCGTTCTTTTCCATTCCTTCCTTATTCATTCATTCATTCTTTTGATTTTCAGTCACTCTTTTGAACTACATATACCAACAAAATGAAGAACGTCGCCATTCTCGCTCTTACCACGGCTGCCTCCGCCGCCGCAGCCAACAACTGCTACCAGTCCCTCGGTGCCGAACCTCTCGCCCTTCCGGCCTCGACTTTCCTCACCAACTCCTACTGCCAGGCCCTCTGTATCTCGCGCAACTATGCCGTCACTGCGACCAAGGATGGCAAGGAGTGCGCTTGTGTTAAGGAGTTGCCTAGCAAGGACTTGAAGGTGGATGAGAAGGAGTGCTCGGTGCCTTGCCCGGGCTATGCGGGTGACAAGTGTACGTCCAGTATACAGTGCGATTGCGATAGTGCATAGATGCTAACAAGAACAGGCGGCGGCCCCAACGCCTGGACCGTTACCGTCCCTCAGGCCCCCAGCTCCGGCGCCAGCTCCAGCTCCGCTGCTGCCCCTACTGCCTCTGTCGTCCGTCGCTCCGACCACCCGGCTTGGTTGGACTCGGGTTCCAGCGACTCTTCCTCGTCTGACTCCGGCTCCGGCGACTCTTCCTCGGATGACTCTTCCTCTGACGACTCTTCCTCGTCCGACTCTAGCTCTGGCGACTCCGCCGTCGCCGGCGTTGGCCCCGCTGTCTCCGCTTCCCCCTCCTCCGACTCCTCTTCCTCCGAAACCACCGGCTCGTCCTCTTCTGAATCCACCGGCTCGTCCTCTCCTGAATCCACCGGCTCTGCTTCTGCCTCCGCCAGCACGGAGGACGGCATCGTCGTCGACTCGGAACCCACCTCTTCCGCTTCATCTGACTCCTCTGACGCCGCTGCTACTTCTTCCTCCGACTCGTCTGAAGAGAAGACTACCGCTGCCGCCGCCGCGACCACCACCGCTGCTGGCAACAACGCCGCGACTACCACTGCTGCTGGCAGCTCTGCTTCTGCCACCGGCTCTGACTCGGACTCGGACTCCAGCGCTACCCAGACCACCTCCATCCCCAACACCCTCCTGACTGCTCCCTCGAGCACGGGCAGTGGTGCTTCGGCCTCGTCTTCGTCCAGCTCTGGCTCTTCGTCTTCGAGCTCTGACTCGGACTCTGACTCCAGCTCTTCCAGCTCTTCCAGCTCTTCCAGCTCGTCTGCTTCGGCTTCGCCTAGCTCGACGGACAGCGCGGCTGGTCGTGTTGAGGGCGCTTCGTTCTCGATGGTCGGTGCTGTTATGGGTGTCATGGTTGCTTACTTGCTGTAAGCCTTTCACTTTTCACCAGCCATCTTATTCTATTTTGATATAGGGGGTGTGAGGTCGAGGGTGTAGTGCATGTGCACAGGGACAAGAAAGCGCCACGCAGGTGCACAATGCAGGGCAGGCATTCCCTTCGTTTTTGTATCATTCTTATATTTATCTATTTTATATACCTTTTGATTTGATTGATTTGACTTGATTTATATGATTTGATTCTCTATGGCATACATCGGCTCATTTATGTGTACGTGTGTATGTGTGTATATTAGATTAGAATCCTGGGGATCGATATTGATATCAATTATACCATTATCATTCGGCACATTCAAAATGTATAGTAGTGTAAACAAGCATAGGGTATCATCACGCATCACGCATCACGCATCACAGCAAACAAACAGCACAAAATAAGACCAATAAGCAAGCCAAAAAGGCAAATCCAAAGTCAAAAAAGCTAGTCTATCTCGATCCCCCTCTTCCGTAAACTCTCCTTATCTCGTTTACTCATAGTCACGTACTCGAACTGTTTCGGCAATTCATCTTGTCGTCCCTCACTGTTCCAATTAGTCATCCTTATATATGCACATCTATATCCCAGTACAGGGGTGGGGACATACCGATAATAAATAATCTTCAAATTCCTCGCCCGATCCTTGTACTGCACCTGATCGCGGTCCTCAATTCGTACCTCGCCCTCCTGCACAGGCTCGGCGTGGTTCTGTCGAACCAGATCCGACCAGCTAGTCCCGCACTCCCGGATTAGGCGCATTAGTCGTTTGTCTTCCTCGGATGACCAGCGGACTCGTACTTTCGAGTCTGTGGTTGTAGCTGTAGCTGTAGCTGTAGCTGTAGATGTGGTAGCGGCAGGAGCGGTGCTGGGCGGCGGCGATGTCCTCTCTCGCCGTGGTGCGTCGTCGACTCGTCTACGCTTTATGTGACGAGATTGGTCTGGTTTCTGTGCGCGTTTGACTGAGGGGTCGATTGCTCGTTCGTAGCGACTGAATTCGTCGTCGCCGTCATCTTCATCTTCTGTCGCGCGTTGGCGCTTTCGCGATGGTTGTGGCTGCGGTGGCCGTTCTTTACTCCGTTCTGCGCTGCGGGGATCACTGAGACTAATCGGGGATACCCGTCGGGCATGTTCCTGACGGTCGACAAAGGCAGCAGGTGTTTTCCGTCGTGGGTCGGCTGTTAGGCGAGGAGTCGCTTTGGTCGCTGCGTTCCAGACTTCCTCGCTAGAGGGCAGTTCGTTTGGTGGTATGGATATGGTCTGGCGACGCATGGGCGGGCTGTGTGATTTTTCGGGTGCGGGTTCGCCTCTGTGTGGCTGTAGATGGGAGCTGGAGTCTACAAAGAGGTCTTCTTCACCCTGCAAGAATGTCGAGGAGTTTTCTGGAGATGCTGGGATTTCGCGAGGTTCTGGCGGCGCAGGTGGTTCAATCGTCACTGGCCCAGACAGCGTTTGACGGCGATTCGAGGCTTCTGGCGACTTTTCGCTAGAGAGTGGCCTCACGTAGTCCGTCTGTCGTCGCTGTCTCTGGCTGATTCGTTCGATCATAGAAGCGTTGAGCCATTGGCTTTTGTGCGACTTTCGTCGCTCAGACTTAGCTGGCTGGGCAGCTGGTTCTGGTTCCTGAGCTGGCTCCGGTTCTTGGGCCTGCTTTTGAACAGGCTCCTGGACCGGCTTCTGAACAGGCTTCTGAACAGGCTCCTTTGGCGCTTTCACCGGCACGGTCTGTATAGTTGACACTTCCCGTACGGCCGTAGGGGAGCTGCTCCACCTGGTAAACGACGAACTCTCCCGTCGGGGTTCAGAGAAAAACTCCCCGCGAACGGTTTCAGCATCGGATTGCGATTGCAAGTCTCTGTTGATTTCGTTTTCCCTCTTTCGAATCCATTGTGCCGCCCGTAGAACAAATTTCTGCCATCGATAAGCGCCTTGTAGCCCGCGGACGCCATCATCGTCTTCTTCCGCTAATGTGACACGGATCTCGTTGACGCGATCGTAGACAGCTTCCGCAAACTTCTCCGGAAGCCGGCCGTTCTCGTCTTCGAGCATTTTGATATTAAACCCACGAAGAGGCGCCTGGCCGTCCTGATACGAATCGTCTTTCTCCCCCATAACATCATCGAAGAAGACACCACTCACAATCGCCTCAGGATCGAATCTGTCCTCATTCTGGTGCGCCTCCAACTTTACCAAAAGTGACTGCGTTCGAATCTCCAATGCCAGATCGAAGGTGTCTTTTTCAAGCGCACTCTGACCACAACCCCCCTGAAGCCCTTTTCCAAGGTCATTCATAAACGGCGACGGAAACCGTCCCTCCAAATCATGGATCGCCTTCCTCTGCGACTCAGTTTTCTTTCCACTCGACGCATCTGCCAAAAGCACCTCCAGTGCTAAACGCGCACAATTCATCTTGTGCAGAATAGGATCTGGACTCCACTCCCTACTCGCCGTACCTTTCTTCTCCAGCGCAGAAACAAGCAGCGGATTAACCTGCTTCGTGTCGATGTACGTCTGGTGCCCGAAATACTGTGCTTCTGCGTCCAGATTTGACATTAACCGTTTCAGCCGTTTTCTCTGCGGATTCTGCGGATCGCGCAGCTTCTTCGCCGTGTTGACGATACTAACCGGATCCACGGACCCAGGAACGAGAATATGCAGGACATCACTCGCTTCACGCTCCAGGGAAGGCAGAGTCTCGATCATCATGTCTGGATCGAGGTCCGTTTCCGGCTCTGACGGGAGAATAGTGGTGCCGGACATGTTGACGGCATCTTCCGGGGAACCCTGTACTTGGACGGGATTTGAAATGCGTCTTGGGGGTGTTTTGGTTTTGGCGGGGGATTCTTCAATCGCATCGAGTTCTGCAACATAAGTTAGTTGGGTTTGAAATGTAAAGAAAAAAAAAAAAAAAAAAAAAGAAAAAGAAAAAAAAAAAGAAAGAAAGAAAAGAAGAAGAGCAATATGTGGTGATGTCCGATGCGGTAAACACCACGCCTATACAAAGACTTGAGTATAAACAAAACAAACAAACCAGAACTATAAAGAAAACAAATACTCGTAGAACCGAACGTAAACAAAACGTGACAAGACCAAAATAAACTCACTCTCAATATCCCCCCTGCTCTTCCCCCATCCCTTCCCCGACTCACCACCACCACCACCACCACCATCGCGGCTCTGCTGATGCGACTCAACCTCCCGACTCTGACTTCTCGTCCATCGTCTGCGCGGAGGGCTATTCACATCCCGAGTAGTACTATATAGCGTAGCCTTCTGCACCGGTCGCGGAACAGAAACAGCCTTGCCGCGGACTGCAGAGCGCGACCGGGACCGGGCCATGGCTGAGTTGTTCTTTTCGGTTTGTTTATCGGCGGGGCGTATAGTTAGTATAGAGAAATCCGTATAGATCGGTCAAGACGGTCCTCGTAGAGAGAAGTCGCCGGTCGGAAGTGGGCGAGAATCGATGAATGAAGAGGTTGGAAGAACAGAGGGAAAAATACCAGCGACCGGCAGAAATTTGGCCAGGCTATGAGGCTCTGGCGCTGCGACTCGCTGGCCGCTGCCGTTTTTAGTGGTGCGCTTTGGGGAAGTCTAGGGGTTGCTGACTCAGTATGCTTATTGATGCCCCAGGCAGAAAACCCTAACCCTAGAGTATGGTATGGCAATAATTACAGAATATCATATTAAAACATGTATAGAAGTTCATGCTAGATGCTAGGTTTTTATTACCCCAATCTACACCAACCACCAAACCGATGACAGAAATTATTCATAGAGGGCTTCGATCAAGTATATGACGCCAAATACGAGGAAGGCCGTAGCACCGCCCAGAGTCACTGTTCACGATTAGAGGTGTTCATTAGATCCAACTATTTAGGGAGAGGGAACATACCAACGCGCATGCTAACTTTTCCAGCGATAGCACTTCCTCCAATCACGGCAGCAGCCGTGCAGATACCATGTCCCGTAGCCGCGCCCACAGTCACCCACCAGTAGTCTTGTCCAGCGGCCATCGCAATAGTTGCGATCTGACTCCGGTCGCCCCATTCTCCGAGGAAAGTCATGGCAAATGTCTGCACCCAGGCGGGACTCAGCAGTAGCGAAAAGAGGTTGTTCAGTCCCACGAGCATATCGTTCCACCGGCGACCAGGACTAGGAGAAGACTCGCGCGACGAGGATGACGAAAGAGACTCGGGAGGCGATGGCATACGGTTTTTGGAAGAGCGACCACGTCCTGCTTCCAACGAGTGCGGTGTGACTGACGAACGGCGACGGCCCAGGCGAATCTGCTCCTGTTCCTTTTCTTCGAGCTCCATCTCGACTTCCTTCATCTCTTCGCCCACGCCCTCATCAGGAGACATTTCGCGGCCTTCCTTGACCATCTTCAATCCGAAAATGAAGAACAACAAAGCCGCCATGAACTTGGTGAAGGTCTTGGGGATGAGCGTAGGAATTCCGTGTCCAAGGATAGCGGAGAGAACGGTCATGCCAATCAGAGCGGAAAAGGCAGCGGAGAAGACAAGCAGACGGGGGTGTCTCATGGCCATAAGGGCCGCGACCAAGAAAGTCTTGTCGCCAATCTCGGAAACGATGATCATGGTGAAAGAAAAGACGAGCGAGTGCAAAGGATCGGCTGCCGGTTGTTCATCCAACTCCAGCTTGCTCGTCGAGGATGTGCCTTTCGTGCCTGTATATGTATCTTTCGACGAGGTTGCGGATTTCGGGGTCGCGACGTCGTAGGTTTCCGGAGGAGTGCTGGGTTTCTGTATCTATCAGCTCCGATGCCTCATAACAAGCAACCCAAATCATACCGCAAGAACTCCCTTGGTACCCTTCCCACTAACACCCTCCTCCGAAGCCTTCTTCTGCTCACTATACGGCAACGGAGGCGCCTCCTTCGGCCCCTCCGGCACTTTCTTGTCGCCTAATTGCTTTTCCGACACCCCACCAGCACCTTGGGCATCCTTTTTCGCGCCTGTCATTCCATTATCCGACTTCTTAGCGCCCTCCACCGAGGAAACCGTCGCATCGAACTTCTCATGTCCCTCCGCGGTTTTCCCCTGCCCTGTCTGTTTATTCCCCGCGTGCCCATCCACAGGGGCGTCCAGCGTCCCCTTCGACCCGGCCTTGGAGGCCCCAATTACCTCCCCGTTGGCACTTGTGACGTCTCGCTGGGCGAGGGCGGATTGTGTTGGGATTGCAGGGTCCGGAGCGAGGTCTGCGACGACGGTCGAGACGGCGGGGAGGAGGAATAGGAGGTGAGAGAGCCTCATTGTGGCGTATTAAAAGAGATGGTAAGAATGTGAATGAAATGAGAGAATACGGGCAAATCCCAGGTCGTAAAAAAAAGGAGAGGCGAGTGTGAACGAAAAAGGACGAGTCGAACGACCGGCGACGATCCTTGAATGGCCACGATATCAACACCACGCGAACAATGGCAACGGATTCGTGGGGGGAAAGGATCGAGACACAACCAATGCCGTGCGATTCAATTCAACCTGTCAAATATGATTGACAAAAGAACGAAGGGAAGAAAGAAAAGCCCCGAAGGAGTGGACAGCAACAGGGACAGGAATAACAGCACATCATTTTGGCGAGAAGGGGCGTCTCCGCATCACGTGAGCACTCTAGATCGCTTCTTTATTTAGATGCCTCAGATCCCGATTTTTCTAGAAGGATTTCTTTTACTAATATGTCTTCGTTGAAGCACTTGAGGGTGTATTTTATATTGTTGTTAGGGTATCTGCACTGTCGTTGGCTCTCACATGTGGGAAATAATTCCACTTCTATTTATATCCTGTCAGACCACTAGCGTTACAACTGGGTATACTCTGTAGTAGTATAAGATATCAAATATCAATAGAGCACGAGTATCATAACCCTCCTCATAGGATACTGATGATATCTAGTTAATAATGCCATACACAATTCACTACTGAATGACCATGTTTGCAATCTATTGCATCCTTTGCCCTAAATGAAAACACAAAGAAAATTCTTCTCATATTCACTGTCTAAACTTATTCTTCTAGCTGAGTAAAACTCTCAACCTCCTTCATATCACATAGCCCCTCCTACAAACCAAAAAGAGAAGACCAGACAGAATGACATCCGTCCTCCTTCCCCTCATCCCCAGAGGAAGACGCTCAACCGGCACCAGCAAAACCAGTCTGGGTCTCAATCCAACAAAATCCGCCAGCAGCACCGGGGACAAATCCAGCAAGACCAAAGACAGGCTCAAAGAGAAAGAAGGCAACGACGTCACGGTCTGGCTAAGCGTTTTCTTCGGAAACACAGACCCTGAAGCCCCCGAACTCGACCATGCCCGCTTCAACGGCCGCGTTCCCAAGGAGACATGGGAGCCCAGGACTCGACCATACACGAATCATGTTGAGAAGCTGCTCTTTGATACGAAAGAGGCGAATCGACTCTCCGCACAGCAGTCCGTGCATCTGAAGAACCCCGAAGCAAAGCTTCCTATTTTCTTCGCGGCGGGGAAGCTAGCTGTTCGGTTCTCAGATGAGATCTTGTCGATTCAGAAAGGAGTATGTCGGATGTGTCGAAGAAGGGAAGTGAAATGCTTCGTATTCCGGCCGCTGAGCGCCACAAAGAACGGGTATCTGGATCTGTCGGATTTCGAGAAGATGCATCGTATCCTGCGAACTATTGCCTCGCATACGACGCATTTTAGGAAGAGGGCTGAGGTGGATTGGGCAATTGGAAGCTTTACGAGCGATAGGCCGTATATGTGTTGTCTAGCTGTGCCGGTTTGCTCGCTTGAAGATCACTGCTTTAGAGAGGCTATGCTAAGCTCGCAGAACTATATCATGGGGGTTATGGAGGGATCGATCAAGCCGCGTCCGATGAAGGAGGATATTAAACGTGCCAAGCGGAAGATGACCAATACATCCGTGGGACGGTCATTTAGCAGCACGCCTGGAACCATGAGTCCAACTGGCTGGATGAGCCCCGGCTTGATGAGCCCCGGCTGGATGAGTCCCACCAGCCCCGGATCATCGTTTGGCGCATACACCACACCACCATCCTCCTTCGAACAACCCAACGACCCAACCAAAAGCCAATCCAAACTCTGCACAATTGGCACAACGGTCTTCATCGGCAGACCCTCCCTCCAAGTCCGCAATCCACAGCCCGGCCAACTAACCTGCCTCGTCCTCTCCTCAACCTGGCCCCAAGCCCTCCTCCCCGCGCAATCCAAAAACGAAGCCGACGAAGCCTTCGACTACTGCCGCGTCGCCGGCTACCACGAGCGCCACATCCTCGAAACAGCAGACTACCGCTGCGCGATCTGCTCTGACGCCGTGCCCGCGCGAAGTCTAGTCCATCGACCCATCGCGTATATTCGAACAGGCAGGAAGGAATTACAGGATAAACGGCTGCGTTATCCACTCATGAGATTTGCATCGTATGTCGAGGGAAGGTGGAATTGTCCGGATACGATTGATTTCTTTGGAGAGTATAGTGATGCGCAGGTCTTTGATTTTGCGGTGCCGGTTTGTCGGAGTAAGGGTATTTGTGAAGAAGTTGCGAGGACTGCGGCAAGGGAGTTTGTTAAGTTGTTCATACCGCGGGATATGAAATTGGTCTTCCCTGGCTTGACACCTGATACGGATTTGGCCTTGATTGAGTTCGATGATGGTCTCGTCTATGAGGATAACCCCGAACTTCTGGTGAAGAAGATCGGGCCTCATGCACTCATCTCGGAAGGAGGAGATCGTGGCGAAGACCCCATGGACTGCGCGTTGACTATCACCAAACTCCACCGCTGGTACGAACTGTGTTACAAAGAGGAAGTCGCCAAACGGGCGTATCTCAAACAAATCGGATACAAGCGGACCGGCGACGTCAGCGACTCGGATAGTGACAGCGACAAGAGCGTAATCGATGATTCCGTGATTTGGGTTTACGAGCGTGAGAGCCGTGGAGATGGTGATACCGAGTCTGCTAGCAGTAGCTCGAAGACCGCCAGGCTGGAGGACCAATTGAGTCGGGAGACGATCTTCCAAAGACTGGATAATCAGACGCTCTTTTCTCCGGCACTCAGCCTTGACTTCTTGCTTCTATGCGAGACCGTTGGTAACTCGAGGGGCTTGCGGGATGTGGACAGAGGTTCGGAGGACAGCAGTTCTACCGTACGGACTGAGAGATATGAGGATTGATTCACAATAGAATAGGAAACTATTATTTTAGGACATGAATGCAAAACTATTACTCCGGGCCATGATAGCAACCACTAACCCACATCACTACAATGCATAGTCACAGATTATCAGTATCACCCCCTACACAAAACACTCCCAACCTCGAAATCAGAAACCCCAACGTTCCATTCCGGTCTCGGAGCAACATTTGAAAGACCACCTTCGCAATGCGGCTCACTGCAATATGTTAGCTACGCGATTAAGCCAAAAGGGCCGGGAGGCACGTACTAGAAGAAGAAGTAGATTTGCGGGGTTGAAGGTTCAATCCGGGCATTGCGAGCGAAGCTGGTATGGGTGGGATTGTTAGCGGGGATATTATACCCTGGGCGTTGAGATAAGTGTTTAAATAAGTACTTACATTGGGTCATCCAGGTTTGTACATCTGTGTGCTTCTACATCAAGCTCTTGAGCGCTGGTGTCGATGTCAAGAGTGAGGTGGTACTAGTGGTAACATCAGTATGGGTTGGTCTTGTGGTGGAATAGTAATACTAACAGTCCGGCCCTGCGCCAGAGCCAGAGAGAAGAGGCTGAGGGCTGCTGTGATGGAGGAGAGCTGCATTGTGGTGTGGAAGATAACAGAGCAGAGGCAAGCTGTGGCTGTGGTATTATCAATGTGAAATCAGACAGGAACATCAAGGCCTCTTATAATGCTGGTCTGTCTGCTGTATAGAGTACCCTCAGTATCACAGCTAAACCGCAATTAGCGATGAGCTGATGTATTGAATCGGTGGCTTGAGCTAAAAACACTACGGTACTTGTACACCTGACTCAATAACATATATCAGCTTTATACTACATATACCTCCTCCCTACGGAGTACATATTACTTGTCTGATTCGGCTATTTACCGAGCTACTGGATAATACATACAAGGCACTCCAATCCATTCCAATTATCACATTGGGTTGTGACTACTTGAGTGTAAGCTAGTATATCATTAGTCCAGTAAGCTTTTTACTTGTTATTATGTTGCACTGTACTTGGACGGCCCCACACATAAAATAGTAAACATTGCAATAAATGGATATAGAATATTGCAGCTCATATCGTTCGTATACAGAGTATCCATCCCAATAGCCCAGAACTTGAAGATCACAGGGGTGAAGTTACCCAGTGCACCGGGGCATACCTCAACTGTCGTGTACCAGAGCTTGAGAGTCCTGTGACATGATTGATCTTACTTGCCCGGCAGCGAAACTAGAAACCAGATAATACCATTCCGGCCTCGGAACAACCTTTGTATATTCCTCCTCACAGCCGTGAAGATGCATCACAGAATCTAGCAGTGAGCTACAGTACTGAATTGGTTGGCAGCTTGAGGCTGAAAACTGTAGATCTACTCCATACACCTGGCTCAATAACTTTATGTAACTACTCTGTATACTCGGTATATGTCGATCTACCTACCTACGCTCAGCTCAGCTCAGCAGCAAATCGCCTTACCGCTATTCTGATTGCCCCGAGGACTATGTACTTCACAGACAGGTCTTAGTACTACTTTCTCGGAGCTACTCGGCGTGGATCGATCTAGTTATTCCATTGTGCATTAATGCTGCATTGTATGAGTTTATGGTCTGTAGTCTTACCTCCTCCCTGCATACTACTTACTGTACTGTGATTCAATTATTATTGAGCTGCTGGGTATTACAATCAATCCAATCCCGATTTTCACATCAGGATGTGACTACAAGTATTTGAATGTAACCGAGGTTCTGCGATGAAAACAGTAGGATATCATAATCCGGTAGACTTGTTACTTATTATGTTGAACGGTACCTAACCGAAGACAACAAGTTATGCAGTGTGTGGCAGAAACTTCATCAATTGCACGTATATAAACAGTAGATGTTGCAATAGAACATTCCTGCTCATCTCGTTCGTGTACAGAGTATCCATCCATCCCCAAAACCAAACTACTCGTAACTCGTAAGTGTTATGCAAAAGAACCGAAACGCCATAGCCAAAACCAATCGCTAACAATCCCAAAATCTATATGGATATCCCGCTTAATAAACCAAACCAAGAAAAAAAAAAAGTAGAACTAAATCAAATCAAATCAAATCATGTTTCAACAATACCCCTGCGTTTCTCCTCCCACTCATCCACCAACCCCGCCACATTCTTGAAGCTAACGGGTTTCGTGAGGAATAAATCAACACCAGAGGTCAACGCATCAGCTTCATCGCGCGGACTGCTAAGTCCTGTTAACGCGATGATAGTTGCGCGGCGCCAGGTGCGATGCTCTTTTTCCAATGACCGGATTGTGCGCGCTGCTTCGAAGCCGTCCATTACGGGCATTGACATGTCTGTTCTTCTGTTAGTACTCTTCATTTTTTTTTTTTTTATTAAATGGGGGGAGGGGAACATGGGAGGTGGGAAAGGACGTACCAAGGAAAATAAGATCATAGCCCTGCATCCGCTCAACAGCGTCGACAGCAATTTTACCGTTCTCCGCTGCGTCGAGGGCGAGCAGATCACGCTTTTTCATGAATGTCATCATCAATTTCAAATTGATGGAGTTATCGTCCACAACCAACACCCTAGCCTTAGCCTGAACCTCGGCCTCAACATCAGGCTCGCCCTCAATCTCAATATGGGGCAGTTCCGTGACAGTCGTAGTCGGTGAGTGCGGCTCAGTAGGCAACTGCTCATCTTTCTCGACGTATGGCGAAGACAACGGGAGAAGACCCGTGGTCGTGGTATATGGTATTGGCGGCTCAGACTCTGATTCGGGGGATTTGGAAGATGTGCTTCCGCCCGAGGAACTATCTGTTAGCTCCGGGGGTGATGTGAAGTCGAGGTTTACGCCGGTGAGGTCGATCCGTTTAACATATAGTGAGGCCGCGCTGCCCTGCGAGGAGATTGTATCTTGTGATATGGTGCGGTTCGGGAGGACGATAGACATCTGGCGTTGTGTTGTGTCTGGGATACTGTCGAGGGACTTGCGGATGAGGCGGGCGAGTTTATGTGGGCCTGACGGCTGGGGTATCATTTCGACGGAGTGCGCGAGGTGTGTCCATTTTGTTTTCGCAGTGCCGTAGTCGGATTTATTGCACAAGACTAGCAGTGCTGGAACCCTCGTCGTGAAGCCGCTATCCTGCTCGACGGCAAGCATTTGTTCGTCTGCCAATACCAGATCGACAAACGTGGAGGTGGTTGGCGGCCACGAGACAAGCTCGAGACCGTACCATTCTGTCACGTAGTGCGCGATGATAGACCAGACGGGGTGTTGTGCAGCGGTGACCGAGTCGACGCCGAGGATTGACACGCGGCGGCCGGCAAAAGAGTCGCGAAGGCGACGGGCTTGGCCGAGCGCGTCTTTATGGCTGGGCTGCGGAGCCGGGGACTCGGGTTCATCTTCTTTTTCTGGCTGTGGTCGTTGAAGTGGTAGTGTCACCTTGACCATTGTCCCCTCGTCTGGACGGCTGTAGGTATTTAAACTTCCGTTCAGAGCCCTGACGAGACTTCGCACAATCGACATGCCTAGTCCGGTTCCCACGGCGAGTGAATCCTCCTGCGCAAACGGGGTGTACAGCCGCGCACGCATGAACTCCTCCGAGATACCCCGGCCTGTATCAGACACGGTCAGGGTTACCAGATCCTCAGCATCGCCTGCATTACCCCGTCGCAGACGAGATTCAGACGACGCCTCAGTAACCTCCAACCGAACCGAGACACGGCCAAAGTCGGTGTATTTCATAGCATTGCCGAGAATATTCATGAGAATGCGCCGTAACGCACCAGGCTGCGTGCGGTAGACCCAGTCGTTATGCACAATGTCCATCATAACCTCCACATCTGTCCGCTTACTCGGATCGCTTTGTGATTGGGAATGTGACCGGCCCCGCGCGGTATTATGTGGTAGTATGACAGGCTGCTCAGCTGAAGCGGTAGCTCTCTGTCCGTATGAATGGCCCAGGCAGACGCCTTCAACAACTTCTTCAGCCAGCACGGCGAGATCTGTGGATACGTAGGAGTCCAGATGTACCTTCTCCATACCCCGGACTTCCAGTGGTGACGCCTTGTGTCGCTTAATGTTGCGCCATGTGCGCTCCAGCGAGACGATCTTGCTAAAGTCGAGGACTTGGTTCATTGTATCGAGCAGGGTGCGGCCGCACGCGTTGACAGTCTCCAGCAAAGAACCCTGAAATTCATCAAGTTGCGTCCCCTGAAGAAACTCTGCTGCCGCAAGAATCCCATGAAGCGGGCTGCGCAGCTCATGAGAGATGCTCCCGATAAAATCCCCCTTCTGCCGATCCGAAATCAATGACTGAATGCGACTATAATCCGCCATAATCGACGACCCAAACCCCAGCACACTACTCAACTCCACGCTCGGACTAAACACCCGCGTCTCAACGGTAGTCCAGCAAAAGCAGCCAGAAAACCATTGCGAGTTACCTGCATTCCACTGCGGCACGAAGAGCACTTGGCAGGCGTTGGGAAAGTATTGGTTGAGGAGCTTGTTTTCCATGGCTTTCCATTTACCCTTGCCGCTTCGGGGGAGGGGTAGGTCGCCGGTTTTGGATTTTTGGGAGCGCGAGCGGCTGAGGCGTGGTTCGTCGGCATCGTCGTCGTCCGAGCTAGAGAGCATGCCGTCGCGGTGGAAGCCCCAGAGGCGGCCTTTGCTGTAGCGGCGGAAGAGGCGGAGGAGGAAGCCGCGGTCGAGGTTCATGGTTGGACAAGTAACCTTGGACTCCATGCTCGGGCCAAACGGGTCCTCAAGTGTCGAGATTGCTAATGTGGGCGCTGGATTGCTTGTCTCGCCTGCACTGTCGCTTCCAGACTCTGAATCTAGCGTGGGGTTGTTGCCGGCCTCGAGGAGAATCACGCCGCCGTCTCCGCCTAGTTCCAGACTTTCGCGGAGGATGTTCGCGGCGCGCTTGAAGGGCCATGAGGTGTCCTGGGTTTCGTCCAAGGGGGTGCCTTTGCGGTGGCTGGACCCCCATTCGGAGGGCAAGGAGTCGGCCTTGCTTTCGGATTCGGAGCTGATTGAGCGGGTGTCGGAGCTGTGTGAGCGTCTGGAGGGAGGACCGCCGCTGTCCAAGGAGTCACCTAATCGGCTGGAGTTGTCATTCGAGTAGCCAGGACTACCCATGTACGAGGGATGTACGTCTTCAGTCAGACTGCGACCGCCTTCAACAAAACAACTCAGACCACGCGACAATCTCGTCGCGCGCCGTCCTTCATGTGCCTGGCGACTAATTTTCAAATAATCCATAATGATCATCCCCAGTGACCCCAGCGTCTCCTTCTCCGCATCCGTCAATCCACTCCGTGGCTGCGTATCCAGCACAAAAAAGCACCCAATGTTGATATTCGTCTCCGTCGTCAACGGCGTCCCCGCGTAGAACCGAAAACCAGGCTCGCCCTGCACAAACGGAAGCGATGCGTAGCGATCGTCTTTGCTCATGTCATCAACAACTAGATATCGATACTGCGGTGGGTTCCGCGTCGAAGGCGGAAGTGCAACAGTCGCCTTGACGGGGCCATGCTGTTCAGTACATAAGCCGGGATTTTCATACAGGTGGGGTCATACTCACCTTGCAGATGCTCCAGGTGTGGTTGAATGTTGATAAACCGGACCAACCATCTGTTTGTCCGGAGTCGATGGGTGATTGTGTAGAGTTTGCTAGGATGTGTTGCGAGTCGCGATCCGATACACTGTCCGCCTTAGCGCAAACCAAGCTGACAGAATGGAAGAACGGCCATACCTAATCAAAGCCCGCTGCACACCCAAGCGCATCGCCGCCAATTGCGCAAACGAACTCAACGTCCGGTTAGAGTTGCCCAGCACCAATCCCTCCCCGGATGGAGGTCCCGTGCAGAGACTCGCCGCGGGATCCGGCGTCGACACAGAAGCGGTCGAAACAGCGGGAACAGTGGCATTGTCGCTAACTGATGATTCACCGGCCGCCCAGGAATCGAAATACGACGAAATAAGGGTGGGTTGAGGGGATGGTTCTGGTTGGAAGTAGCGGTAAAGTTCGCGGACTCGGCGGCCGATGTGGTGGTCGTTTTGCGAGCGCGGTGAAGGGTCCATGATGGAAGACCAGTCGAGTGTTAATGAACTGGTCTAAAGGTCATATACGTGGTGCACCGTAGTAGGCGTAAGTGTAAGAGTCGTGGTGCACCCGTGGTTGGAAGGGGTATGTTTTGAGGGGTAAGAATGTAGGAAAAATCAAGCGATGACAAAATATTTAACCAGATAAAACTCAGCAATCGATGGGGCAAAATGGATGTAAATGGAAAGAAAGGTACAGAGTACTCCGTAGGAGAAAATAAGCGAAAGGCCGTCTTTTGCTGGGCAAGAATCCGACCCTTGGCTGGAAGTCACGTGGTGCGACGGTGACTGGCTGGAGGCTATCGCAGAACCGTTTAAACCGGTTGTTGGAAATGTGGAAGGGGACCCAGCCAATCAGAGTGCTTGTTCATAGTAGTGACAGGTCTTCATAGTTATATGTTTAATGCCAATTGTTCCACACATCATGATCTCCATTACTCTGCTATGAATCATCTTTAACCTTGTCTACTTGTACTTGTACACTCTATCTGTAAGCATCCCGAATAGTACATAATAACAATTTATCTGATGCCGGTTTTACTCCGGACTCGGTCCCGCTACCGTCCCGCTAGTGGCTTCTCTAATTCCAGTACGGAAGCCTCAACCGCCAATCACGGCCATGCCGCGCAAGCCACGCACCGCCCCGCACGTGTCTGCCAATGTATGACACTTGGACTCGCACTCTAGATCAGTGGCTGATACTCATGGTACGGATAGTTATATCTGCCTTTTATCTAGCCCGGCAGTAATAACTTAATAAGCACCAATGGCCTTAACTAGTTAGTTAACTACGGAAGTTAACTAGTTACTTCTAGACTTGTACAATGATGATTCAATGATCCCTGTACTGCTGACTCATATTGCATAACTATGATGCATTACGGTTTATGCTGCATACATCTGACCAATCGTCAACTCGTATCTCATTAGCCATTATCTATAGTTACGCGTACATCATCGAAAGATCATGAATCATCCACTCCATTCAACTCCTCAAAACTCCAACCCAACTAAAACTTCTCCATCAAGCGTTTGCGTACTGTCCACATCCGCGCCCGCTTGCCGTACATGTACATCGGGATTGTAAATAGCAGACAGCCTAGTTGGATTCCGCCAAGGGCCAAGAAGACTGTCCGCGCGCCGTCGGACTCCATCCAGTCGACGACGAACAGGGAAAAGATTAGGCCGTGGAAGACGTCTGGATTTATGTTAGCATATGGTCGGGTAAGATGAATAGAGGGGGGAGGGGACGCACTCTTGCTCCAGTTCAGCGTCACCAGGGCTTCTCCTGCATACTGTCGATAACTGTCCACGGCAAATGTAATCGCTGTCGTACTACCCAGACAGCATCCGAACGACACCAGTCCGAAGAAGATTGTAGGCACGATCCATGCGTCCTTCTCCTGCGCACTCCAGCCAAACGCCATCAATCCGGCCGTCGTCGACAAGGCAATTGGAATGCCCATCACGAGTCGGAATTCTGGCTCATAAACACCGCCGTTGCGACGGGTCATGAACTTGACAATGATATCGGATACTTTACCTGCAACCGCGGTACCGATTAACCCACCCACAAACGGGGAAATGTAGATCAGACCCGTCTGCAGCGAGGTGAAGTTGTAGCTTCCTCCCTGGTAAATATGCGAAACGAGCTCTGACATGACGATCAGCCATCCGACTGACAGTGCATACACCGCCGTCGCCCACAAGATGGCCGGGTAGGCGAAGAGAATGAACGGTCGGGTTGCAACACGGTGCCACTGGTCATGGGTGATCCGGCCAGGCCAGGGTCTGAGATACGAGGCGAATGGAATTGGACCCCGTTCTCGAAGACGGTTTGTGTAATGTGCCTGTCCGGTGACCGGTGCAGGAGAGTCGTTGCCCGTAGCGTGCCTGGCTGCTTCAGGGTCATTCGGATGATCTGATTTCTCAGGATCAGCCGCTCTCTCCGTCCCCGCGGTTGAGACTGCTGTGATCCGGTCGCCTTCGGGTTGATCATGCACATCATGTTCGTCCACCTTCTCTCCGTCGTTGGCGAATCCAACATGGCGATCCGGATGTCTTCTCGCAACCGGCGACGGGGGCTGAATCTCTTCTTCCACCTTGTCGGCCAAGCTTTCAGCATAAGACGGCCGACCTCGTCGTCCGTGGGAAATGATATTCGAGACACTCCGGTGCAGATTTGGTCGTTTGTGGTGACGGTGGGGACGAGGTGTGCGATCCCAAAAGGTCTCAGGTACGAAGAAGAAAATGCATACCAGACACCCTCCGGTAATGATGGCCACGATCCAAAACACCCAGCGCCATCCCATACTATTGATGATGGCGGCACTCACCAACGGCACCAAGTTCTTGCCACCTAGCAACAGAAGGGTATAGATGCCGATCCGGTATGCTCGCTCGTGCAAGAAGTAGATCTCTGCGATACTGGCCGATGGAAGACATTCGACCGGGCTCACTGCGATACCCTGGAAGACACGAGCAACCACCAAGCTAGCGTAATTCGGCGATAGCGCACACCACACGGCTGAAATAATGAAAAGGAAGGCGCCTAGCAAGTAGACAGGCCGTTTTCCAAACAAGATAGCTGTCGGAGACATAATCACCGATCCCACTCCCAGTCCCAACATGTATAAACCGGTCGTGTAAGCCACCTGTTGCGTCGACACATCATAGGTCGCGGCAACATTATTGAATCCCGCTGCCAGGACAGGGGTCATTCCCCCTCCCAGCAAACTGTAGAACCCCAGCGACAGCAGTGCGGCATCCCGTCGCCAAACCGGCCAGTTAAGCGGATCATTCGCAGAATCATCAGGCTGAGGGTTCAAAACGACGCCACCAGTAGTCTTCTTAATCGGATCGCGAGAAGGAGATCGAGTCGGGGGATTCGGTTGAGGAAACGATGACGCAGCCGTACGCTCTGGTTGACGTCGCAATCCTAGCGGTTCGTTGCGGTCGTGGGACAACAGAAGAACCGTTCCTGAACCGCATCAGTTACCTTGTCTTTTGTGTTACTTCGATGCGATTATACTTACCAGGTACTTCGTCCGTCTGCTTATCGCTCAAGATACCCAATGTCGACTTGGAGCGATAAGACTCTTTCGCCTCCGGAGACGACTCGTTCCCCGACTTGCCTCCAAACCACTGTTTCCAGCGAGAAGGAGTAGTTTGCCGTGGTGGTTGGTCCTCAACAGTCTCTGGTTTGTTCTCCATGGCGCCCTCGTCGGACACAGCTCCGTGAGACACGTTCCCCGACGTCATTATACCCTCGATACTTTCCCGCCTCCAAGAAGAATTCACCTATCTCTGCACAAAGGAGCGATAACAGTTAGCTACGCCACTTTCCCCAGGGATCTCAAGATCACGCGCTCGGATCACGGTCACGATCACGTACATGTGGAAGGTGGAATGTGAAATGTCCGGGCACAGCCCAAGACAAGGAACTGAAATTGACACCTTGTCACCAGCCAACAAAAGTACAAGTGCCCTCAGTGATCACGACCCGCGCGAGCACGTAGAAGTAAAAGCGAACTAAGTAGCGTTGCAAAACAACGACATCTTCAAAAAACGATGGAGGAGGGGTGCAGAGATAAATATGTATCAAAGACACGGGAGAACGGTCCAAGCCAAGAAAGTCAGATAAAATCGGCCAAGGATGTCGGTGAGAGCTTATTCGCCAATATGCGACACGTGATAAGATAGAGATGCTTAAAAGGAGGGACTGTGCTAGTAGTGGGAGTCAGACTGAAACAGGCAAAAAATGTGATGCTCAAAAAGAAAAATTAAAATAAAAATAAAACAGTGATATGCACGTGGGCGGAGGGCGGTGGAGGCAAAACATCGGAGGTACTTGCAAGTTACATGACCTGTCACCTTGTTGCTAGTACCTTGAGGTATCTTAATTAAACTATTCTATGTACTACAGAGTACAATGTATGCAGTTTTTTATTTTTCAGTGTCAAGTGTCACCTCCACGCAGGGTCCTCGACTCGTATAGATAGCGGAAAGAACAGTTCATGTGATCGACCGTTAGCGTTTGTCGTCATCGTGCAGAGATCCGCGTCAAACTCGAGCTCGTGCTTAGCTTTAGGGGTGGTGTACTTGGCCCGATGCGATGAGCAGATGACCAGTCGCGTCCTCCATAAAGAATAGGAGATACATCAAAGAAAGAACGGAAAGAGAGAAAAGGAGGAGAAAACGGACGAATCAAATACATACATCAAAGCGCCATATGGACATTGCTCAACGTACATGAAAGGGTTCTCAAAAAGCCCTGCTGGTTAATTCTACACTGCATAGAAATAGGGTAAATTAAGATAATCGGAGTTCTCCTTAAAAATTTAGACAGCATTTCACTGAGCCCTTAGGTCCCTCCGATCAATTGATGTTGCGATGAGACGTGGACAAAGGCCCCTTCCAAGGCGAATCGGACGGCCAACGGGACGAACACTACACCTCTTTTAGGGCTAAAATGCAGGAACCTGAGACCTCTGGATCGATTCCACATATTGAAATATCGGTATACAGATTCAGCCCTGGTTCTTGAGACAAAATGCCCTAAAACAGGCATTCACCTCTTAGGGCATCTCTCCATTCACTAACCAGTGAACTGAAGTTCACCCTAGACCTGACAGTGAATTCTCCATTACAGACACCAGAGAGACTTACAAGTGAATACAAGGCTGCTCCTGAGATGGTGGATGTCATAGGAACTGAACAGTGCATGACATCTCTTTGTGGGTGTGAAGTTATAAAAACATCATGGATTCTGTTCTTCTTCTCCTTTACAAGCAACTGTGCTACTTGGTGTCACGGGCTCGGAATAGCAGATAATGATGAATCGACGTTCCTATCTAAACTATTGTAGCCATCGACGAGAATATCGAATCTGGGGAAGAAGAAGAAAAGGAAATCTATCTAGGCGATGAACGGTCTTTATACACATTTGTGTGGTGCGGCTTAAGCCCTTGTTTGCCCATATTGCTTGTATGGCATCGTTTGATATGTTGGCGCTGTTTGTCTGGCGTTGAGCCGTCACACTTGGATAACTACAAGAACTCATTCAGTTTCTCTTCATTCAGTTTCTCTTCATTCAGCTTCATTCAGCTTCATTCAGCTTATCTTTATTCAGTTCAGATTCCAACAAATCTTTCACCATCATGTCTTTTATAAAGGCTCTCTTCATCCTCTTCTTCCTTGTGTTATTGCAGGGCATCAGTTCAGTTTTGGACACTGGTTCTAACTCTAATATTGCTGTCTATTGGGGTAAGTTCTACACTCTTCCACTATATTGTTCAATGCTAGCAAGTTTCTAGGCCAAGGCGGATCGGATAGTTCCCTTGCCGAGTTCTGTGATGACTGTAAGTACCAACCACTCCCTAAATCTGATATTTAAGAGCTCTAGCTAACGAGATTACAGATCCACAGGTCAATGTTGTTCTTCTGTCTTTTGTCACCAAGTTTTCGAGCACCGGTGGTTTTCCTAGCATGGAAATTGGAACGCGGAAGTGCAATCCTTTTCCCGGCACCAATCTTGGTGATTGTCCTCAACTAGGGTAAGTCTCATTCTCCCCCTTATAGATGTACTTTGCTAACAAGCCTACAGACAGGAAATCAAGACGTGCCAAGCCCAAGGCAAGACCACCATGCTTTCCATTGGCGGCGCGACCTACACTGAAGGCGGCTTCTCCTCAAAGTCAGACGCCATCAACAGCGCAAACACCGTCTGGCAGACCTTCGGCCCCAACACCCCGGAATCCCAGCACCGCCCCTTCGGAGACGCCGTAATCGATGGCTTCGACTTCGACCTCGAGTCCCCAGCGACCAACATGCCTGCCTTTGGCAACCGCCTCAGCGAACTCATGAATGGTCAATGGGATAGAGATTTCTACCTCACGGCCGCTCCGCAATGCCCCTTCCCTGACAATAACGTCGGAGATGTACTGAACAACGTCTAACTCGACGTGATCTTTGTCCAATTCTACAACAACCCACAGTGCGGGCTAAACGCATTCACAAACGGCGCGCCTACGGGCTTCAACTTCGACCAGTGGGACCAGTGGACTCGTGAGGAGTCAGTGAGCAAGAACGTCAAGGTGATGGTTGGTGCGCCGGGGAGTCAAGATGTGGCGCCGAGCTCGGGGTATGTTGATGCTGGGCAGCTTGGGGAGATTTTTGAGTACTCCAAGCGGTTCTCTAGCATGGGCGGTGTTATGGTTTGGGATGCGTCGCATTTGCAGATGAACCCGGGTCTTTTGGGGAGCATTAAGAAGTTGGCGGAGGATGTTCTAGGGACTGTTGGAAGGGTTTTAATTGGACAGATGGGGTGTTCTTACTGTTGTGTTTTTAGACTTGGGTTTGTGATATTTGGACTTTAGAATGGGTTGTTTGTTTTTCTCTTTGTTGTCTTCTTTCTTTTTGAAGATTGAAGCTTTAATAATTGCTCTTGTAGCATATGGAAACTGAAACAACATGTTGATTCCTCGTACCACTCCTCCGTTCATCCATCCATAGTGGTATGAGGTTCACCATCGAATCCGATTATTCGGAGCTGGCTATAGTTGAGCCTAAGCCATAGTAGATGTCCATAAAAGGCACTCCCTTCGGTAAAAAGTACCTCCGTTCCGCCGCTCTCCTCCATATGAATGTTCCATCTTGTACTCCGATAACTCACAGCCCCCCACGCGGGGGCTATCTTCAGCTTGCTTTGAACAGCTGTGAAAACCCAAGCAGCTCCCCGCGCGGGGGGCTACCTGTATTTAGATGATAGATGGTAGCTTAGCTAGGTGATAGGCAATTCCGATCTGCCCGTCGTATGTCCCGAAGCGGGACCAGGGCTTTTCCGCGTCCGAGGTCTTTAATCCAAGGATGCGTGGAAAGACCCGAACCTCGACGTAAAATAGAAACACACACACACACACACACACACACTCCGATAACTCGGAATGACCGTGATGGTCCTTGTTAGTATTACTTTGGAAACGGCCGATATCAACTAGCCGAAGTATATCTGCCTCTGGTTCTCAATCGCCTTAACTTCCCGCCGTGGAAGTGCAGTCGTATTTCCCCGCTATTCGCCGCTATCGTTGCACTTCCCCGGATCGAGGTGGCGTCGTATTCCTCTCTGTACAGAGTACTCCAGATATACACCTGGGTACAGGGCACCTGACTCTTGATATGCTCGTACAGGGTACTCTGTCAGACAGTTGTACGGACAGAATGCCGAATCATTGGCTCGGCTATGTCGACTGTCGAGCGGGGTTTGTGATATGCGACTTGATATAAAGCCTGCTGCGCTATGGATGCATTTCCCCTCAATCATCCTCCGAGACATCATACCGCACCATGGCCCAACTGCCTTTCCAGGTTGGTATTCCGGTATTTCTCCGGTTCACTGTCTAACTGACCGTCCAGCTCGATGATCCTTCGCTGTTGCACTTTGACTCGTTTGTCGGGAACGAGTGGGTGCAGACAAAGCACGGGGAGCGCTTCGAGGTCATCGGTATGTGCTCGGTATATTGCCCCAGAGGATAGATAGCCGTGCAATGCTAATAGATAGACCCCGGCACTGATATCCCCTGGGCCAGCTGTCCGACCAACACCTCCGACGACGTCGATGCAGCCGTGAAAACCGCCCACACAGCCTTCCAACAGTATCGCACAACCACTCCCCGACAACGTGCACAATGGCTCCTCCGCTGGGACACCCTCATCCGCGAAGCCAAACCCGATATCGCCCGTATCCTCACCCATGAAACTGGGAAACCGCTGGCGGAGGCCATGGGCGAGATCGATTATGCCACCAGCTTCACTTGGTGGTTTGCCGGCGAAGCGGAGCGTATTCATGGGACCATCAGCGCGTCATCGATGCCGAATCGTCGAATCTTGACTGTCAAGCAACCGATCGGGGTTGCGGTCGCGTTGGTGCCCTGGAATTTCCCTATTGCGATGATCCTGCGTAAGGCGGGCGCCGCTCTCGCAGCGGGATGTACGATGATTGTGAAGCCGAGTCCGGAAACACCGATCGCGACGCTGGCCGTTGCGCATCTGGCGCAGAAGGCAGGCTTTCCGCCGGGTGTGTTCAACGTGCTCACTACCGACTTGGTGAATACACCCTCGCTGAGTGAGAGTCTCTGCAAACACCCGTTGGTGAAGAAGGTCTCGTTTACGGGGTCGACTCGCGTTGGGAAGCTGATCGCTGGTCACTGTGCCACGGGCCTGAAGAAGGTCACCCTTGAGTTAGGCGGCAATTGTCCGTTCATGGTGTTTGACGATGCGAACCTCGATCTCGCACTGGACCAGCTCATGACCCTGAAATGGCGCCATGCCGGTCAAGCTTGTATCACGGCGAACCGCGTGTACGTGCAAGCAGGAATCTACGATGCTTTCGCGCAGTGCCTCAAGGAACGCACAAATGCCCTCGTCATCGGCCACGGCGCCAAAGAAGGGACCACCATGGGGCCACTGACGACGCCACAGGGAGTGGACAAGGCGCGGAAGCAGGTGGAAGATGCACAGAAACACGGAGCCACAGTTCTCTGCGGCGGGACTGCACCGGAGAACAAAGAGGGATACTTCTTCCCGCCGACAATCCTCACCGGCATGACGCCGGATATGCTCATCTCGCAAGAGGAGAGCTTTGCGCCCATTGCGGCGCTTTACAAATTTGATACGGAGGAGGAGGCGGTTCGTTGCGCCAACGATACCAGCATGGGTCTGGCTAGTTATGCGTTTACTCGTGATGTTAACCGGGTTTGGAGGTTGATGGAGAATCTCGAAGCGGGTATGATTGGGTTGAATTCTGGTATGTTTTGCCCCCTTTTTCCAGGTGTTAATTTTCAGATGCTAATAGTGCTACGTGCAGGAAATTCATCCGCGGCTGAATCGCCCTTTGGAGGAATCAAGGAATCTGGGTACGGAAAGGAGAGCGGAATGGAGGTGGCTGTTAACGAGTATCTGGTAACCAAGACGGGCACGTTGACGGTCGAGCAGTAGGGTTGGTCCACTACGGTGCCCTACCATGGCTTGCAGGACGGACTCCACAAATCTATAGCACTTTATACGCAAATAATACCAAGGACAATACCCAAGCAAGTTTGGCTGACAGCTATACTGTAAAACCCCGTTATAAGCAACTATTTCGGCAGGTCGCGGAAATTGCTTATAACGGAGTATTGCTTATATCGGATTATACGAGCTTGCTGCCATAAATATATATATAGACGTCATCTAATTACAAAAGAAGTCTCGTATATCACTCTGCTGCTGTCTGCTAACCTTCTTTCTCAAAAGGGTCCTCTCATGGAAGAGAAGTTGCTGGATTAAGGCCTTATTTCCATCCACCTGCTGCTCCTCGAAAAGCCGGAGTTTATATAGACTCTCCAAAGCATCTGTTATAGATATCTGTGGAAGAGACTCATAGTTTTCTT